CCCTCCATACCATGGGATGTTTCTCCCCCTTAGTCACCATCGAATGTAGAGTATTTTCAGTCAGTCACAATCCAGTTATAACGGAGGTGGGAGCTGATCCGACCTCAATGGTTGCGAGAGCACAACCGAGGCTAATCACGCCATCTAAGCGAGCTTCTATGAGAAGCTCCATCTCTGTCTTGTACCTATGTATAGCCACACATCCCCATGATTAAAGCCAGATGTTCCATGGAAAGGGACATATGCAGTATACAAAAGGGTTTAGAACTCAAATCTGTCCATCAAAACAAATACCTGCACATGGCATGTTTCTTAGCGATAATACCCACCTCCTCGTAAGACCCTAATACAGGAATTCCCAGGCACTAACCTGGAGTCCTTGAGTCTCGCCCCTCACGTGGCCCACTGTCACTCTGGACAGTGTATTTTAATCTGTAGTCACGTTGCTTGTGAATACAGTTCCCTTGATGCACTGTGATCTCTGCATGCCTTTATTTCACGTCCTTGAATTAGAGGCCAAGGACCTGGAGACACGGGGCCCACCAGACACTGTAACATCCCCCTCAGCTTCCTAGAACTGGATTACAGGCCTGCGATACCACCCTTGACTTTCTTGCGTCTTTCTGTAGGACTGAAATGTAGACAGAAACAGCAAATGAGTATCCAGTGGCTTCTCCCTTCACCTGAAATCCTTGTTCTCCCTTCTAATAACAAGGATCTGGTTTCTCCTCACCTGTCTCTAACCCACTGGCTTCTCTCCTGGTACACTGGCCTTCCTTCTCTCCTGGAACTTGCTCAGTGACTGCTTCATTCCTTCCTGGGAGCTTTCAGGGCTGTGTTCCTGGGCCAGCACTTCTTCCCAATGTACATATCATCTCCCAACAACCAAAATGACCTCACAGTCACTTTAGAGTACACTGCCTTACCTGACTTCTTCATTCTATCAACTGCTATGTGAAGTTTTCCCAATCTGTTCACTACCTGCCTCCTTCCAGGCCCCCCCTTAGCCTCCTTATGGCTTATCATGGTCATGGCTGTATCCCCAATGCTTCTTACAGTCTCACAAACGCTGGCCCATAGTCAATGCTCAGTCCATATGAGCCAGATAAACAGATGGGTTCTGAGTTTAGGTCTAAACTTTGAACTTCGGTGACTTAGAAAGAAGTTACATTAGTTTTGTTGTTGTTTTGTTTGTTTGTTTGTTTGCTTGCTTTTTGTTGTTGTTGCTGTGATAAAATACCCGACTAAAGGCAACTCAAGAGGAAAAGAGTCCATTTGGGTTTAGTAAGAGGCATGGCGGTGGTGGCGCACGCCTTTAATCCCAGGACTTGGGAGCCAGAGGCAGGCAGATTTCTGAGTTCGAGGCCAGCCTGGTCTACAGAGTGAGTTCCAGGACAGCCAGGACTATACAGAGAAACCCTGTCTCTGAAAAAGAAAAGAAAAAAAAAAAGGAAAGGAAAGAAAGAGGCGTGTCAACAGGCAGACAGCGCAGAAAGCTGAGACAGCACATCTCCAACAGCAAACAAGAAGCAGAGAGAAGAAATCAGAAGTGGGGCAAGACTGTGGCCTCTCAAAGCCAGCCCCAGGGAACCACTTTCTCTAGCAAGGCTGCCCTTCCTAAAGGCTCCATGAGCTCCTCAAGCCATGCCATCTGCTGGGAACCAAGTGTTCCACTCAGAATTCGAGCCACCACATAAGTCTTGATTGTTCTTACAGTGGGAAGGGACTAATATCACCATAGCCAACTCAGCTGGCTTGGGTTTCTAAGACACGGATCCTGGATGCATTGAAAATTCCATTTGCCCTTTTGAAAGGCTGTTCTTAGGATGAGAGATTTAAAATGAGCGCCACTGTCTCCCTGGCAGAGCCTGCTGATCGACCAACTCTCCTGTGCATGTCAGTTTCCCTCTGCCCAGTTTCCAGCTAAGACAGATGAGACATCTTCATTGCTGGGACTTCAGCAGGCAAAGCGGCTGTCACGGGCTCCAGCGTGACTCCTCCCCACATAGCAGAGAAGCAGATCAGAAAAAAGGACAGCCAGACTGCAACAGGATAGTGCTAAGGTATAGCTGTCATCCAGGAAGCGCACCCCAGTGCCCCTCATAAAGAAGCCTAGAAGTTTCCACTTCGACCAGGTGAATGGTAGGATGTGGCTGCTCTAACCTCAGCTCAGCAAGCCTGCAGCCATGGGCATCTGTTCAATTCTTCCCTTGAAAGATAAAACTGTAATCCCAGCACTTGGGAGGCAGAGGCAAGCGGATTTCTGAGTTCGAGGCCAGCCTGGTCTACAGAGTGAGTTCTAGGACAGCCCAGGCTACACAGAGAAACCCTGTCTCAAAGGAAAAAAAAAAGATAAAACTGAAGACTGGCCTGGTTCCCTGTAATCTCACCAGTTGGGAGGATGAGATAGGAGGATTGCCTTGAGTTCAAGGCTGGACTTGGCTGTATGGTGAGTTCAGCCTGAGTTACATAATAAGACCTTGTCTCAAAAAGCAAAAAGATAGATGGTAGGTAGATAAACAGACAGATATAACATTGGCATAAGAATATGGGTGACAGCTTTCTAGGTTTGAGTCCATCTGTGTGTAAGATGCCAAACAAATTTTGCTGACTTGAAACGCAAAGGACTTTTAACGTATCTTTGTGTTCTAAGAAATAGCAAATGATCCAAATTTAAAAATTTAAACAAAAAAGTTCAGCATTAGGAGGGAGAACCAGGAGTCAAGATAGCTGGAGCCAACTTCTCCCCTTTCAGAAAACCTGTGTGAGAAGTCAGGTCTTTAAAAAACTGTGGTTAAGTGTCTTGGGTCCATGTGTCCTGGGAAAGCTTGATTATTTGTGTTTCTGGATCAACAGTTAATATGTAAATGACAAATTCCACTAATCCTGTTCTGCAAGCATCTCACTGTCAAACTAGATTTACTCTGAAAAGGGTTATTCCTTCGAAAACCAAGGTGGCTTGTTGTTCTGAGGGGAGGGAAGAGGAAAGGGGATGGGGGAGGAAAGCGGAGGGAGGAAGAAAGGGGAGGGAGGAGGAAGGGGAGGGGGGAGGAAGGGGAGGAGGAAGGGAGAGGGAGGAGGAAGGGGAAGAGGAGAGAGAGGAGGAAGGGGAGGAGGAATGGAGAGGGAGGAGGAAGGGGAGGGAGGAGGAAGGGGAGGGAGGAGGAAGG